CCTCCAGAATGATTCTGAAAGATACATTTTAGATATGCAACTAATTTTGTTAATCATTTTGTCTGATTATTTGTTGGTGGAATGAAGCCACATTTTATGTTTTAAAATGAAAATCTATTTATTCTATCTTGTCCTACAAACAAAGTGAAGGCTATAAAATGAGTAAAAATTTCAATATATGCGAGACATTATATGCAAAAAAATATAATAAGCAATCATACAATTAATAAAATATTTAAATCATAACATAAAAAATATAATGGAATTATAACAAAATAAATCTTCCAGTATAAGAGACCCAACTAATTCATTAGTCAACTGCTGTCAGTATTGATTATTTATTGATTAGTAGCTGCAGCCATAATTAATTTACTTAATTTAATTAATGTTTTTTTTTCTCTCAGTAGTAACACTGTACTATTGAAAAGTTTGGTCAGAAACAAAGTGAAGGCTATAAAATGAGTAAAAATTTCATTATATGCAAAAAAATATAATAAGCAATAATACAATTAATAAAATATTTAAATCATAACATAAAAAATATAATGGAATTATAACAAAATAAATCTTCCAGTATAAGAGACCCAACTAATTCATTAGTCAACTGCTGTCAGTATTGATTATTTATTGATTAGTAGCTGCAGCCATAATTAATTTACTTAATTTAATTAATGTTTTTTTTTCTCTCAGTAGTAACACTGTACTATTGAAAAGTTTGGTCAGATTTATTTTTTAATAAATTGATACTTTTAATACATTAAAATATAATGTAACATGGTTTTCACAAAAATATGAAGCAGCAAATGTTTTCAACATTGATAATAATGAGCAAATCAGCATATTATAATATGTTTCTATAGAATGATTTCTGAAGGATCATGTGACACTGAAGACTGGAGTAATGATGCTGAAAATTCAGCTTTGATCACAGGAATAAATTACATTTGAACATATATTCACATAGAAAACACTTATTTGAAATTGTAATAATTTTTCACAATATTACTGTTTTTACTGTATTTTTGATCAAATAAATGCTGCCTTGGTGAGCAGAAGAGACTTCTTTCAAAAACGAAAAACATTTTTTTACTAACCCCAAACTTTTGAACAGTTGTATAACTAGTTAGGCTACTATTGGTGGAAATTATGGCTACCATGGGACATTTCTGTGTGTAGGCCCTAATGCATAATTTATACAAATAAAGCATTATAAAAATACTTGCCAGCTCACAGCGGTGTTGATTAGATAGGATAATTTAACACAATCATATCTGTAGAAGTTTATCGTTATCGTACCATCATTGACACAACATTGTTGTGTTTCCATGTTTTATGGGGACATTCCATAGGCGTAATGGTTTTTATACTGTACAAACTGTATATTCTATTGCCCTACACCAACCCTACCCCTAAACCTACCCCTCACAGGAAACTTTGTGCATTTTTACTTTCTCAAAAAAACTCATTCTGTATTTAACGTAAAGATAACAGAAGATAGCGCTGTGTCCCACTAACACATGTACGAAGATCCCTTACCCGTTCAAAACCAGACACATATACTTTCGGTTTCATTTCCATTATGACAATTACTCATCAAACTATTTTATGGGGCCTAGCAAAATACAAGCAAAGTTTTAGCATTAGCTCTGTTAGCTAGAAAAGCGTTTTGCTTGGTGTTATTTTTAATGCAAGGGAACAACATAACTGACGTCTCCACAGGGATAAACACATCTGGGACAGAAATAGGGCCAAGGGAGCACGTCTGATGTGGGCCGATCCTGAGAGGTTCTGTCAGTGCTGTCAGGAGACAGACAGAGAGGATTCTGGGAGGTCAGCGCTGTGTTTGGGGCTCCGGGTCGGGCAGTGTGTTTGTCCCGGCTCTCGGGGATATTATTTCAGCTTTCTCCTCTCAGGTGGCCCCTTTTATTATGTCCCCGTGGTTCCTATCTTACAGTCCATGAAAGAGTAATGAGAGATGTTTCCCTCAGAGAACACGCGCTGCGCAAAACTATCTGGGTGTAATTTCATTTTCTAGTCCCTCTGGAACTTTACCACAAGACAAGGTGAAAAATATTTTTAATTTGGGGACCTGGATCTATGGGTAGTCTTTTATAATGAGAACATTAGGTTAGGCTACGATACTGTTAGAGTATATATATATATATATATATATATATATTGTTCAGAGAACATTCAGAAGTAACTTTTTTTATAACTTAATGGGAGCATTAGCAAAACGTTCTTAGAACATATTTTTGTTGGCTCCGTATGTTAATGTTTATAGACAGGAACAGAAGATTTGACTGTAGAGAAATACGTCATGAAAGATTACAAGGAGGAAGAGAAGGATCAGCTTTCCTGTTAGTGTCTTAGTGTAATTCCCCCGGTTTATTTAGCTCTCTCTACTTCCTCTACACTGTAAAAAATGATTGTGATTTTAATAGTAAAAGACTGTAAAAATGCTACAGTAAAAACCTGTTAACTGGTTAACAGTAAGTTTCCATAATATGTTCGGTGAATAAATTTAATTACATTTAACGTAATTTACGTAATTAATGTAAAAATACTTTTTTTGGAAGTGAAAAAGAAATAGTCATTGTATAATTTACAGTGAAAAAACGTAAATTGACACTCCCAGAATTCCCTGCATGACACTTCATAGTTTTTTTTTACGGTGAAGTTCTGGCAACCACAGCTGCCGGTATTTTACCGTAAATGTCACTGATTTTTTTTTTACAGTGTAGCCACACTGGACTCATTGTAGCATCAAGAGTTTGCTGGTTTCTGAGAGCTGGGCTGTGTTGGTTTTGACCACCACGCAATGATTGCAATTTCCATAAACGCACATGGCTTCTAAGGGCCTCTGTCATTGTTTCTATGTGTGCATTACAGAAGAGGTTAAGCTGAAGAGGGCTGCCGTGGATTTATGTGGATACGGTTATCTTGCATTTGCCTAAGAGACTAAAGCACACATTATCCAATCGCTCTTACGTTTAGACATGCTTGGGTTGGTGTCATTTAAACTCATACTCTATCTTGTCCTCTATCTGTCCTGCAAATAAAAATCACAGGTTTTCAGGACTTATTTATTTATTTGCTCCAATTTTGCTTGCAATATTTTTTTATTGTTTGATGCATGTGGTTGCACTTCTCGGTTCTATTTTTCCGGTGCATTGTGGGATGTAACAGCACCACAGGAAAGAACCATTCTGAGGAAGTGTTTAAACGCAGACATATGGCCACTGTCAGAATTGAGTAAAAATCATTATAAGAACATTTTGCAAACATTCCCATTAAGTTCTGAAAATGTTATTTCAGAATGTTCTCAGAGTGTTCAAAACGTCTAATTTGTAAAAAAAAAAAAAAAAAATTTTTATGTTTTTCTTGGTTATGCAAATCTTAAGAAACATTCCAGTTTACTTTACTTTACTTATGTAAAAACATTTGAAAAAACCTTAAAAGAACATCCAACTAAAACGTTACAGAAAAAAGTACCATGAACGAAGTATTTGTGCTTAGGTTTTCAGAACATTATTCTTAGAACATATTTTTCTTAGAAGCCATATAATCAGATGACCTGGCAAATATTTAAAGTCTGAGGCAATTAGACCTACAGTCAGACAGGTAAATCTGTCTGTAGTGCAGTTAATAGATCTCGCTACTGTCGTCATGGTACTGAATGATTACCATATTAGGATTCAACATCAGTAGCCTACTCTAAGGAAACCTACGCTTTATGCTAGCACCAATGAAAAACTATTTGACAACTTCTTCGACACTGACTTCTTCTCAATTCAGTTAACAGCCTTACATAAATGTTCTGTGACATCTAATGCCATTGCTGCTGGTTTATGTAATGTTGCTTCTGGTCCCTGAGCCACGTCCTCTTCCTCCAAAAACAGTTTCACAATAATATTGGGCAAGTTTGCCTTCAGCATTAGTTGCAACACGTGTTCCGGGAATCGACACGTGTGTGTGTGTGTGTGTGTGTGTGTGTGTGTGTGTGTGTGTGTGTTTACACACAAAAAATCGT